CTGTTACACTGCAGGGACACAAGGCCAGAGCAAGCCTTGACCAGACTGAGGAGACTGTGCTGCAGATTGCTGTGCCACAGTGGTGCTGAGATCAGCCGAGGCCACCACTGCCACTCCTTCCCAGGGGGGCAGTGACACTGTGCCTCATAAATGCACGTGGCTGGACAACGCAGCCGTGCTGCAGGTTAAGTTCAGTATGTACGGGTGAGCTTGTCTAAGGGCCAATCAACTGTAATGGCATAATTACTATTTGCATTTAGATGGGACTACAAACCCAGGTCAGGACAGGACCTCTTCATGCTATCGTGGCATACAAATTCAGTGAAAATGGAGAGCCCTGCTCCGAGGGCTTGCTCGCCCAAGAACAAGACAAAAGCCTGTCCATGGCCAGAGGCAGACAGAAGATTATCAATAAATTAAAGGATGCTTCTCCCTACCACAACAGGTAAATTGTAACAGATATTGTCAATAGCTTATAGGCAGAAGAATACAGGAAATTCCTCAGTGGAGTAACAAGGCAGTTTCAAGGATGCTTTCAAGCTGTCCCTAGATAGTGGGGCAGCATGGGGAAGTCATTAAAATGTGCATTGGGCAGCTTAATGAGTGGACAAAGGAAGCTGAATCCCAGCTGGTGGGTAGAGAGGTTCAACACAGTCATACTGAATGGAAGATGATTAGGAGAGCTGGGAATGACAAGCCAAATCCCTATTACCAAGGTCTGAGGAACCAGGGTGCTAAACATTATCCATTCTCACTATTCCTCAGCAGCATGACAGATACTGAGAGCCTAATAAATGAAAGGTTAGACATTGCTTGAAATTCAGAGGAATCTGGTAATCTGTTTTCTCAGACCCCTGCAAAATAACAGCCAGAATGGATTATGAATGTGGTACTTGCTGGTGCAGCTCGTTAGCTCTATTTAGACAGCCACCAGCATCCTGGGGGGGAATCACCTCCTGCGTTTTTTCCACTGTACCTCAGCACTTACTGATATTTAAAAAGGAGAAAAATAAACTTTATTCAGTTTTTTTAACCATTTTGCTTTCCAGCAATGGGCCATGGCCTCAACTGGCAAGGACCAGCAATGTACTAATGCATTTACATACACTGAACCTAAAACTTTTGACAACCAGCCACGTACAAGATGGTTGTTTACTAAAATTACAATCTATCTCACAAGTGTTATCTCAGAAATTCTTTTACTGCTTTGTCAGCTTTGCTGTACTTTTAGGCAAAGTTTTTTCCACTGACAAATATATCCTATTGAGGTTACTTTTTTACATCAGTTTCATGAGCATCCTGCAAGGCATTCCACAAAGCTTGTTCCAGAATTCTATCTTTAATTATTGCTACTGTATCACCACCACACTTTTATATGTATGTCTTATAAGCACACCAAAAGAGTGGTTTATTTGGGTTAAATCTGACCTCAAGCAGTGTAAGACACACTGAAGCCTGCTATCAATTGAAGTATGAATCCCCATGTTTTTTGCACTGCTGTGAAGAAACCCATTTAAAATCTCCAGAAGGCTAAGTCAGCACAACTTTCTCCTGGAGATCAGCAGCAATTCTGACAGGAACTATACAATCCAATACAGCTATTTGAATAATATGTCCAACTTGCTAAATTGTAAAGATTATATTAAGGTTGGAATACTGAAATACTTCATGTTAAGAAATGTTAAGAATTAGGCTTCATTTAGTGAGTCATTAGTTGCATTTGCTCCAGAAAGAAACTGGTACTGGGTAGAGAGGAGCACAATGCTTGCAGTGCCTAGGACCACATGTAGTGGATATTGTGATGGTCACAGAAATGAGTCAGTGAGAAGGGTGCCATGGGGCCTGTTGAGCACCGCCCACAGAGCCATGCTCTTCACTGGGTCTTACCACAGCAGTCTTATAAAATGGTGAATCATTTCTTGTTCCTTGAATGTTCACAGACAGAAAACTGGCATCTGATTTACAGAATTGCTGCTTTCTCAGAGCTCTAAGCTGTATCTGAAATCTCTGGAGCTGTGCTCTGAATACTTAAAAATTCAAAATGTTCTTGAAAAATGAGATCCTGGGTGTTCCTTGTCAGTCATCCCTAAACTGTTCTTAAGCTCTGCCAGATTTGTCTGTCCTTAGATAAAATTGGCTTAATATTATTTTCCTTCCCACAGGTATTGTTCAGATAAATTCAGTGCTGTTTGTCAAGTGCTGATACACAGCCTGGATACCCCCACAGAAATTCACTGAGGATGCTCTACTTAGGATCAAGTACTGAATGACAGAGAGAGAAAAAATAGTGACTAACTGCATTCCCTGGGAGGCAAAAATCCTAAAGGAGAAACAGTGGCTGACACAAGGATTACAAGCAATGTATTTTGGCAGTCACAGATGAAGCAAGTGACCACATGAATTTTGCAATCTCAGTTCCAGTATTTTCTAATTTGTAAATGTTCATCTTCACAATCAGAGGTTGTTTAGAGGGGAAATACAGGCATATTATTCACAGTTAATTAGTAAAATTTTACACACTATTATGGGATGACCCCCCTGCCTTGCAACATCATCAGCATCTAGATTCACAGCCCAGGTTTTTTCCTAGAAAAGCTCCTAGAGAGGCTCCTGAATGACAAAGCTGTTGCCCTCTATGCAGACCAGGCCCTCAGAAAGCAAGAGACATGTACTTTGCCACTGGGTTCTCATTGTGTGCTGATAATAGAAATGTGGAGTTAAGAACCCAGGGTTGATTTCAAATGTTGGAAAGGAGCTGGAAAACACACTTCTCCTGCTGCTTGGGATCTGCCTAAAGCAAATCAAGAAAATAGTATTTAATCATCCCTGACACCACGATGAATGTTCCTTTGAAATCCAAGGCCCACTCCAAAGCATGCCCTTTTCACAGGTTCTTAAAACCAACAGTTTGCTTCTAATACGATAAGCAATGTTACCCACAAAGGCAGCAGCATTTCTTTCTTTGCTTGAAGGCAAATTGCCAGCATGAAAATTTTCAGCTTAATTAATCAGAGTTTAGAAAAATTTACAAACAATAGAAAAAACTTTTTAAATGGCAAATGGTAATGAACTTGTATTCCAGTAGAGCTTTCAATCTGCTCTACAAGAATTCTACTACAGAGGCATAAATGTCTATACGTTTAAGAATCCAAAATTTCAGTCTCAATAAGAAAAAGAAATTCTAGTGCAGGGAACAGTCACTGGGCTGGGAATCAGGATATACAGATTTTGTTGTTTGTCCTGCTAGCTGTTGATCTGTTCCTGTGGTTTAGAGCAAATCCTCACTCTTCATGTTTTTCTCTGCACTTCTCTGGAATTTCTAGTTTGGTTTTAAGCTCATGAGGACATAGACCATCTCTTACTCATTTCTGTTTATCAGCACTCACAGTGGTTTACAGCAGACCCATAAGCATTACCAGAACATATGCATTATTAGCAACCTTTCTTATTTTTGCCTGTTTCCATCTCTGGAACAGAAGAACATCTTATAGCACTTTGCATAGAGGTCTGCAACATGACTAATGCAGGACAAGAGCAGGTTGAGCCCTGCTGCCTGAGGAACAGGTATCTTATCCAGCTACCCTAAATCTTGAGGCACTGCAGAACCACTGCAGCTCTCCTGGGCAATGGGTTAAGTCTGAAAGGGCACCAAATGGCAGGCACAGCTCAGAGGCAACGGAGAGAAGAAAACATTTATATTTGGTATTGGGCTTGGGCACACAGCAAAGGCAGCCAAGGGTGGAGGAGTTGGCAGCTTGCTCTACTTAATAAGCAGTGTAGACAAATGTTAGCACACACCACTGAGGTTTGGGTCATTCCATAAGATTTCCTCAGCCGTGAGCCTTCACAGATTACACTCCTGGAGCTCAGAGGCAACGGAGAGAAGAAAACATTTATATTTGGTATTGGGCTTGGGCACACAGCAAAGGCAGCCAAGGGTGGAGGAGTTGGCAGCTTGCTCTACTTAATAAGCAGTGTAGACAAATGTTAGCACACACCACTGAGGTTTGGGTCATTCCATAAGATTTCCTCAGCCGTGAGCCTTCACAGATTACACTCCTGGATCAATGACACTTAGTTTCCTGCTTTTTGCCCACACTGATGTACCTTCACCTTGCTAGAGCACTATAAAGGGATTGAATTATAGCTGCAATTATGCATTTGTTTTTTAGGGAGAAATATACTTGTATATTTAATTCATACCTGCTCCAGGGGAGGAAGGTTCAAACATACTAGATGTTTCACTGCATGTGTTGGAAGCTTGCTCTGAGAGCTTCTTTTTTGCACTTCCATCTGCTGACTTATGTGATTTCTTTTTATTCTTCACTAGAATTTTGTACATTAAATCCATAGGGCTTGGAAGAGGAACCCCAGCTTCAAGCTTGCAGAAAAAAAGAAGAGAGACTTGTTACAACAAAAGGAAAAAGTTTATGGCAGTTTCTGAAGGTCCACATGGTACAAGATAGTTTTGTGACCTCTCTAAGCCCTGTTAAAATGAGATGGATTTTGCACAAGAGATAAGTCAACATTAAATGAAACAGGGCTACTGAGAGCACTTAAGAAGGAAAATGCTTATGAAATGTCTACACTAATAATCAAAATAAGTATTAGTTCAAATATGAAAGCCTACACTCTAAAATAGCAGCTATGAGAATTAATTGCATTTAGAAGATTACAATTCACTATATCAGGACAATCTGCATCAGAAATTACATGTTGTTTAGCTGCCTCCCTTAGACTCTGATTTGAAAGGCTGTATATGAAAAGTGAGACAGGACTGAAACACCTCGATATAATTCCCACAGACATTTGAGATCTGATAAATACCAAGCCATATTACCGGGTATTTTTCCAATGGATCCATAAGCAATGCATCTCCAAATATTAATCTGCAGTACTCTGCCATTTTTGCCTGCTGTTTAGGGCTAAAGGGAAGAAAAGAAAGAATGGAATGAGTCCTACTAATGCTACAGAATGAAAGCAGCAGCAATGGAGTATCTAATATCTCTGAACTAGATAAAATTTTGTGATCCAATTGCTGTGAATTTTTCAGAGACCTAGATATATCATGCAATTATTTTGATTCCTCTGAAAGAGTTTATCAAAAGGATGATACATGAAGCAAAGGCACTAGTTACTTGAAAAACAGTGAAATAATCATAACATGAATTTGCCTTTATCAGGCAACATTTTTTTCAAAGTTAAATATTTTCACCCTTGTGTTACTTCATACACGTCTGGCATTCTTCTCACACAAATACCCCAAAACCCCATTTAGATTTTGTCCTTTCGGTCATACCTGGCCTAAGGCACAAATCCCAAAGCAGTTACACAGAGAGCAGTCTTCTGTGTAGGTCTTTTAAATTTCCAGAGTGAAGGGTACACCTATCAACTCACTCAGCATCTCTACAAGCACAGCCATACAGAAGAAGGGACAGAAAACATTACTTGGGCTGGGTTTGCCCCAAAAGCTCACTCAGCAGTATCTCCCCTGACACATCCTTCCTGGCAGAAGTCACAGTGTAGAAGTAATTGTCCTACTGCTAAGATGTGTTATGTCAATTTGGAGAATTGCTGTAATAAGTGCTGGTATAACTACATTTTATATGCATAGAATTACACACTGCATCCATGTTATGAGGCTATAACTAGGACCAGCATGTCAGAGCAGCCTTCTTAGAAGGGAACTGGATGTAATAACAAGCTTCTAGGTGGAGCTGCTCAATGATCATTTTAGCTTGTTTGGGTATGTGGTCAAATTCCATTTTCAGAAGTTTTAATTTTATTTAAAATCAGATAGAGTGTCAATTTCTACCACAGTAAGTACTTCAGTGGTTTTCATGACATCCTCTAGAAGCAAACTGAACCTCAGTAAACTCTACTTATAATCAATTTTCGCAAAGTGCAACCAAAGAATGAAGTAATTCCTGCATATCAGTGATGGAAGTTTTAGGACTGAACATAGCTTATATGGCTAAGATATAATACTCACATCACCTTGAAATGCAGCTCAGTGCTACAGTCACTCTCAGATTTCTAATTTTAGACAACTGTGTATTTTTGTTCTGTGTGCCTGTTTTAAATCTGTGACATCTGAGCTTAGGTATCTTTCAAAGTTTCCTTTTTTGATACTCTATGGGAAGGACAGGTTTATATTGCTTAATATAACTTCCTCAGCTCCTGATAATTATGATCTGCGTATCATGGAAGATCCAGGAATGGTATAAGCTATTACGTTACCATGGAGCTATTTTTCATTACAACACAGAGCTGGGTATATAGGGAAAAAAGTGCTCTTTTTTTCTTTTGCAGACCAGGAACACAACCACTGCTGTGCCTGGTTTGTCATTAGTTACCAACTGAGCACTGGACAGTGCAGCTCTCCCAGGGTCAGCATGGCCAAACCAGAGCTGAGATAAAGGCTGGGTGGCATTGCAATCAGAAAACCTAATTTCCCTGAGATCAGCAGTCTGGATGCCCCAAGAAGCAGATAGGGGGTGAACCAGTCATTAGCTCAGTCACTGACAAAATGTACTGTGAGAAGGCTTTAAATTATTCCACAAAGCAAGTGCTGCATGCAGTTTAAATCACAACAGCATTTCATGAATGCTGCCTTTTGCATGCAGTCAATTCTGCAAGAAAGCTAAAAGCCACTTTTAGCTGTGGATGGAAATGTAAGATGAAGACAAGCAAGGCAGCAGAACTAAGAACCCACACGGGAGAAGATGATGATGGGAAGGCTATGCCATTGCCTTAGCCATTTCTAACCAGCAGCTACCAAGGGAAATAAAGGCACCTCACTCCAGCAAGCAGAGTGAGTATTTGCTACAGCTCTACAGGTCATTAAAGTAGATTTTATTTCAGTCTTCTCCATCAGTGTGTATTTTGAATAGATCCATGCTCTCAGAACCCAGAAAGTTCAAAGGCCATTATTGTGAATCAAAAGAGCACATTTATTGGAATCACAGTCAGTACATGTGACATCATCATTTTAAATGGGCAAAACTCCAAAAAGAACTCTCAACAGGAATAAAAATAATAATAAAAAAGGCAAGAGTTAAATCTAACGAATTTTCACTTATCACCAGAGCTAGAACAAATTCTTCTGATCTTTTGTGTTTAATTACGTTTACTTCAAAGACAGCACAGTAAGAACTTCCATTTTTGCAAAAGAGAAAAATGCAATGCAACATTATGTTGGTATAAATTCCAATGTCACTGCATCCCAGAGGCAAAAAGAAGGAAAAGTATGTGAAAAACTAATGGATTTTAATATTATAAAAACCCCTTGCAGTAGTAAACAAGGCCAAAGGAGGAAAATCTTGACATTACAAAATTAATTGTCTTTGTGAACTGGACTATTTGCACAGATATTTTTGAAAGCTCCTAAGAGGGAATAAAAATTATTTAGGAGTACTAACATTTCACTGTGTGGTAGTTTTTTGAGTTCTCTCTCTAACATACGTGTATCTATATATACACACATATACATATGTAGGTGTATGTGTGCATTGTTGCAAGAGATAATCATTAGTAATAGTAGACTACATATCCCTATTAAAATACTTTTAAAAATTGGAGTACCAGTTTCTTTTAATTTTCACTTCTTTCAAAATTGGGAACCAGAGCAACAGATGAAATACCAACTTTTCTACATCATGTTTCCCTAATTGTGATATGAAACAAAAACCCAGGTTTTTTTTGGTCCACATCTACTGTTATTGGAAATTCTCTCAGCATTCATGTTATTGTAATGAAAATTGATTGTCTGAAAACAGCTGACTTGATCTGCTCTATGATCTTCACTCTGCAGTCGTGGAAAGGTAGCAATAGGCTAATTATGTATGCTCCCAAGATGTGCCAGGGCAAGGGGAGATAAAGTTGGAACATGATGCCTGGAGACATGGAATTATAAAGAAGATTGAGAAATGTTTTAATTACCATTACTGTATTGCTTGTACCTTGTCTTACAGTGTTTGTATTATGCACATTACGAAGATCAGTCACAGAGGCTCTTTGGCACAACTGCACAAATACTGCTCCTAATGCTACATTATTATCCCTTCTGTAGAGATACTTCCTCTGCCTAAGAAAAAGACACAGATGCTTCCCAGAAGAGTCTAAAATAAAGTGTACGATGAAAAAGTGATAAAAATCCTGTTAATATTTCAAATAACAATTCCAGCAAGAAACCAGCAGTATGAATAACTGTAATTAAATTTAATATTGGAAGCAATCTTATATGGATACTGCTCAAGGATCACTTAACCTTTTTGCTATGCCATCAGTACATTTCTAATTATAGAGTGTCTGCTTTCAGATTTGCAGATTGCTTATCTTCTTGCGAGCCCAGTTTCAAGCATCAAGGTCTTCTTGAGGTCTTTTCAACATTTTCAGGGCACTTTTCTATTTTTTAGTAGAATCACATCTTTTCTTAGTACTGTCTTTTTTTCAGTGTGCATCTTTTAACTCCAATATGAATGATGGCATACATAGTATTTTATGTAGTCCGAAAGTTCTACGCTTGCCTCTTTTTCCATATTTCTGTTTAAACCAATGCCAAAATTTCTAGGGGACCAACATTTCACATATGAATACAAAATCAGTCTTGTAACTTGAAAATCTGGAAAAAAAAAAATGTGGTCACCCACAAGTAGGAACTGATGAACCAGGATTTGTTTGACAGGAATGCTATAAAAACATCAGCACTTTTGTTAACATTTAGGGCAAAGCCTAACTTTAAGATCTAGGAGAAAAACAACATTCCAAGTAAATGAAAAGACAAAAGGAGCATTCAATTAAATTAGGTGAAGGTTTCTGTGAGTGGCATGACTAATTGCAGATTTCTCTTGCAACTAGTGAAGGAATGAAGGGGTAATTGTAGGAGTCAGTAAAATAACTAGAAATTATTTTCAGCCAAAGTGAAATCAGAAAACACAGACATGCTTTCTGATGATTAAAAGTCTGATGATTTACTGCAGCAGACAATAATAAATAGCAATAAAGCCTCAGAGAGAGAAAATACTTGGTATTGTTTTTGAAAACTTGCTTTGCTAAAACCTTATGTCATAGCAATGCATAGAAAAGGATATCAAAGAAAACACACAGGGAAAAACTCAGTATTCCATGACTGGAGATATCTGGAGAGAAAGTCCAATGGTTTCTGTGGGGCAAACCGTAAAGATCAGAGTAATGCAGCAGTAACTCTGTTCCCTTTTTGTCACATTCCTGCAGTATCACACCACCTTTAATTTTGACACCATGTCATCTTATAGTTTTAAAGCCACTTTTGTACATAACTTATGTCTGACAGGAGTTTATTTGATAAATTTATTTTACCTTCCTAAAATAGAACAGATCACCCTGGGATAGTTGAAGATTTAAGTCGTAATGACTTTAAAGGAAGAAATATGTAACTCGTCTGGTTCAAATACTTTTGCTGTTGCTTTTTCTGTGCCTTATAGTAACACAGTGAATGTATATTTTAACAAATCCAGAAGAATGAATACAAAATACACTGAAGAATGATGGCTGAGATCTTTCCTAAAGGCCAAAGGCTACCTTTGGAAGCACCAAGAGAAGCAAAACCCTACAGCAGTAGGTGAGTGTAAGCAAGTCCAATGGGATATAATGTACACCAAAAATAAAGGAATGAGGGGACTGATTAGAAAAGGAGATTAAACACAGTATCTGTGTGGTCTTTCAGAGGAAGACAGGAATGACCAAGCAGGATTTAAGATGTAGATGTTTGAATCATAACCATGTAGCTTTTAAATGTGTGCAGAGCAAAAACACATTTGCCCACCAAAGGTTAAATTATACTATAAGTTATACAGGGAGTATAGCTCAGCTCTCAGATTTTAAATTTTTCTACCTACATAATTTTTGATCAGTATTGTCACATCTGTTCTTAAAAACATTCTTACATAGCTTCTTCTACCAGTTCCTTCCCTTATGACGAGAATGTTCTTCCTAAAACAATGGAAAAGCAGTTAGCCCTCACCCTTTTCCTCTTCAAGAAACCAAAGTGCCAACATCTTTTCTGATTTGTAATAAGTCATTCATAGCTGCCCATAAGATTACTTTTTGTTTCACATTAAAAAAGTTTCTCAGTCCAAACCGTCCCCAGAAGTGTTGAAGATGTTTTCACAGCAAAAAAAAAACACAAAAGGAAAAAGGCAATTCAAGTTAAGGCACATGTTTTGTGTCAATGTCACCCCACTTTGAACCATGTGGTCTCTGTATTCAAAACCAAAGTTAATGTCAAACTTTAAAAGCAAAAAGAAAAATCAGAACTATAATAATAATATGAAAAAGAGCTCACTGGGACAAATCTAGAAGAGTTCTCATCTATTTTTTCTTTTCTTACACAGAAAAATTGTCCTTTCTTTGTAACTAAAAAAACCAACACGTGAACAAAAACACCCAAAACAAAACAAAAACAAAAACCAAACAAACCAAAAATACTTACGCAAACTATTATTTTTTTGGCAGAAACAACAGTTCCTGATCATCCACACCACCTATTTTGCAGTCCCAGAGGTCTATGGTTCTGCTTTCTACTTCTAACACATGAGAAAGGGACCAAATTCTGCGCTCAGAACACAGTAACAGGGTCACAAGCTGGTGAAATACTGTCTCATTTTCTTTGAAATAGTGCCACATTCCAGAAGAATGTACTGAGACTGTAAAGTTAACAAGGTATGTCTCACAATTATTCAAACTTTCTTATACAAAAGGTCCTGAACTAGAATTCAGGAAGGTTTTTAAGCACATACACAATTCACTCTGATCATCTCAGTTACTTAGGCTGATGTAAGACTATTTTAGGGTAAGAGCTGTTGTTTGTGCCACGTAATAAAACTGTCACAACTGCACATATAATTCCATGCCTAGGTCTTATAACACATGTAACACCATACAAGCAAATGTGGCAATTACTTACGAATCCACATGATTTTCAAAGGACAGGAGGATTGGAAAGGGTGATGTCTTAAATGCACATTCAGCAATAGCTTCGATCACTTCCTAAAGAATCAAAATAAATACAGTTACAAATCTATGTCTCTAAAGAAACAGCATTTTAGTCTTTGAAGACAAAAAAGCCCCAGGGAGGTCTGACATCACACCAAAACTGCCTGAGTTCAGACCTGTTCTAAACATCCCAGAAAGCTCTGGATGTGCTTTTGCCGCAACCAAAGTTTTTAGCATGATTATAATCAAATCTCAAACGTCTGATGAGTCTCAAGCACCACATTTCTCAAGAAATGACTTATGTCTGCCAAAATCAATAGTTTAAAATGTAAGACTTGGTCTCTATGTGGAGTTGTTCCATGCCTGAAGCTATGACTTTCATGTACTATCCTGCATAATAGTAAACATGCTCTGACAAAGGCATATCTTGTAAACATCACCAGCACAAGCACGAATCCGGAAAATCCTTGGTTACCCCAACTCACAAATTTTAGCTCCCTCTTTTTTTTTGATGACAGAAATCCCTTTAAGGCAAAAGAAAGGAAAAAAGAAAACATTCAGTTAGAACAGTTGACTCTGTAGTAATCATCAGAGGACTGAGAATTTGAAACTTCTGTAAAGTTTCTGTTCACCTCTGATGGACAATGGAAATCCAGTAAAAAATCATTTGATAATACTAATTTTAGCAGGGTGCACAATAGAGTAATGCACTCACTGTCACAAATTATGAAATGTTTCCCTCTTGAAAAACAAATCTTTTTTCAAAAGAACATATAAACCACTGAAGACTTCCCATATGCATTGCTGTCAAACTCTGAAGTTTATAAGAAGCCATAAGCCTCTTCCCTCCCAAATCATAAGGATGACTGAAAGGTAAAATATTTATTTTAAACAGCTTTCTCTGGGGATTCCTCTTATTCATTTTCTGTCCTTTTAAATGCTCAGTTGAGAAGCATAACAGTAAGAAATCCACTGCCTAAAATGAAGTTTCTGGTACACCATTCTGGTATGTTAATTTTCATCTACCTTCCCAACTACAAAAAGGGATGAAATCCTGCATGAGTGGGGAAAATAACCTGAAAGAGCAAAATCAGGATTATATTGATGAATCCTCTTATTCATTTTCTGTCCTTTTAAATGCTCAGTTGAGAAGCATAACAGTAAGAAATCCACTGCCTAAAATGAAGTTTCTGGTACACCATTCTGGTATGTTAATTTTCATCTACCTTCCCAACTACAAAAAGGGATGAAATCCTGCATGAGTGGGGAAAATAACCTGAAAGAGCAAAATCAGGATTATATTGATGAAAGGATGA